GTTATTAGGGTCCCCTATGAAAATAAGATCATTTGCCCAAGTAGAAGTGGGTGATTTCACTTGCAACCTGATTGCAGGCAATTCTGCACAGAATAACCCAGACTGCTGCAGAACAATGCTCCAAAACCATAGCAAACCTTGGCCAAATGAGTTGATTTTCATAGGGTAGTCTGGAATAGGTGCGATTAGGGTCCCCTATGAAAATCAGATCATTTGCCCAAGTAGAAGTGGGTGATTTCACTTGCAACCTGATTGCAGGCAATTCTGCACAGAATAACCCAGACTGCTGCAGAACAATGCTCCAAAACCATAGCAAACCTTGGGCAAATGAGTTGATTTTCATATGGTAGTCTGGAATAGGTGTGATTAGGGTCCCCTATGAAAATACGATCATTTGCTCAAGTAGAAGTGGGTGATTTCACTTGCAACCTGATTGCAGGCAATTCTGCACAGAATAACCCAGACTGCTGCAGAACAATGCTCCAAAACCATAGCAAACCTTGGCCAAATGAGTTGATTTTCATAGGGTAGTCTGGAATAGGTGTGATTAGGGTCCCCTATGAACATCAGATCATTTTCCCAAGTAGAAGTGGGTGATTTCACTTGCAACCTGATTGCAGGCAATTCTGCACAGAATAACCCAGACTGCTGCAGAACAATGCTCCAAAACCATAGCAAACCTTGGGCAAATGAGTTGATTTTCATAGGGTAGTCTGGAATAGGTGTTATTAGGGTCCCCTATGAAAATAAGATCATTTGCCCAAGTAGAAGTGAGTGATTTCACTTGCAACCTGATTGCAGGAAATTCTGCACAGAATAATCCAGACTGCTGCAGAACAATGCTCCAAAATCATAGCAAACCTTGGGCAAATGAGTTGATTTTCATAGGGTAGTCTGGAATAGGTGTGATTAGGGTCCCCTATGAAAATAAGATCATTTGCCCAAGTAGAAGTGAGTGATTTCACTTGCAACCTGATTGCAGACAATTCTGCAGAGAATAACCCAGACAGCAGCAGAACAATGCTCCAAAACCATAGCAAACCTTGGGCAAATGAGTTGATTTTCATAGGGTAGTCTGGAATAGGTGTGATTAGGGTCCCCTATGAAAATAAGATCATTTTCCCAAGTAGAAGTGGGTGATTTCACTTGCAACCTGATTGCAGGCAATTCTGCACGGAATAACCCAGACTGCTGCAGAACAATGCTCCAAAACCATAGCAAACCTTGGGAAAATGAGTTGATTTTCATAGGGTATTCTGGAATAGGTGTGATGAGGGTCCCCTATGAAAATCAGATCATTTGCCCAAGTAGAAGTGGGTGATTTCACTTGCAACCTGATTGCAGGCAATTCTGCACAGAATTCTGCAGACTGCTGCAGAACAATGCTCCAAAACCATCGCAAACCTTGGGCAAATGAGTTGATCTTCATAGGGTATTCTGGAATAGGTGTGATGAGGGTCCCCTATGAAAATCAGATCATTTTCCCAAGTAGAAGTGGGTGATTTCACTTGCAACCTGATTACAGGCACTTCTGCACAGAATAACCCAGACTGCTGCAGAACAATGCTCCAAAACCATAGCAAACCTTGGGCAAATGAGTTGATTTTCATAGGGTAGTCTGGAATAGGTGTGATTAGGGTCCCCTATGAAAATCAGATCATTTTCCCAAGTAGAAGTGGGTGATTTCACTTGCAACCTGATTGCAGGCAATTCTGCACAGAATAACCCAGACTGCTGCAGAACAATGCTCCAAAACCATAGCAAACCTTGGGCAAATGAGGTGAATTTAATAGGGGAGTCTGGAATAGGTGTGATAAGGGTCCCCTATGAAAATCAGATCATTTGCCCAAGTAGAAGTGGTGATTTCACTTGCAACCTGATTGCAGGCAATTCTGCACAGAATAACCCAGACTGCTGCAGAACAATGCTCCAAAACCATAGCAAACCTTGGGCAAATGAGTTGATTTTCATAGGGTAGTCTGGAATAGGTGCGATTAGGGTCCCCTATGAAAATCAGATCATTTGCCCAAGTAGAAGTGGGTGATTTCACTTGCAACCTGATTGCAGGCAATTCTGCACAGAATAACCCAGACTGCTGCAGAACAATGCTCCAAAACCATAGCAAACCTTGGGCAAATGAGTTGATTTTCATATGGTAGTCTGGAATAGGTGTGATTAGGGTCCCCTATGAAAATACGATCATTTGCTCAAGTAGAAGTGGGTGATTTCACTTGCAACCTGATTGCAGGCAATTCTGCACAGAATAACCCAGACTGCTGCAGAACAATGCTCCAAAACCATAGCAAACCTTGGCCAAATGAGTTGATTTTCATAGGGTAGTCTGGAATAGGTGTGATTAGGGTCCCCTATGAACATCAGATCATTTTCCCAAGTAGAAGTGGGTGATTTCACTTGCAACCTGATTGCAGGCAATTCTGCACAGAATAACCCAGACTGCTGCAGAACAATGCTCCAAAACCATAGCAAACCTTGGGCAAATGAGTTGATTTTCATAGGGTAGTCTGGAATAGGTGTTATTAGGGTCCCCTATGAAAATAAGATCATTTGCCCAAGTAGAAGTGAGTGATTTCACTTGCAACCTGATTGCAGGAAATTCTGCACAGAATAATCCAGACTGCTGCAGAACAATGCTCCAAAATCATAGCAAACCTTGGGCAAATGAGTTGATTTTCATAGGGTAGTCTGGAATAGGTGTGATTAGGGTCCCCTATGAAAATAAGATCATTTGCCCAAGTAGAAGTGAGTGATTTCACTTGCAACCTGATTGCAGACAATTCTGCAGAGAATAACCCAGACAGCAGCAGAACAATGCTCCAAAACCATAGCAAACCTTGGGCAAATGAGTTGATTTTCATAGGGTAGTCTGGAATAGGTGTGATTAGGGTCCCCTATGAAAATAAGATCATTTTCCCAAGTAGAAGTGGGTGATTTCACTTGCAACCTGATTGCAGGCAATTCTGCACGGAATAACCCAGACTGCTGCAGAACAATGCTCCAAAACCATAGCAAACCTTGGGAAAATGAGTTGATTTTCATAGGGTATTCTGGAATAGGTGTGATGAGGGTCCCCTATGAAAATCAGATCATTTGCCCAAGTAGAAGTGGGTGATTTCACTTGCAACCTGATTGCAGGCAATTCTGCACAGAATTCTGCAGACTGCTGCAGAACAATGCTCCAAAACCATCGCAAACCTTGGGCAAATGAGTTGATCTTCATAGGGTATTCTGGAATAGGTGTGATGAGGGTCCCCTATGAAAATCAGATCATTTTCCCAAGTAGAAGTGGGTGATTTCACTTGCAACCTGATTACAGGCACTTCTGCACAGAATAACCCAGACTGCTGCAGAACAATGCTCCAAAACCATAGCAAACCTTGGGCAAATGAGTTGATTTTCATAGGGTAGTCTGGAATAGGTGTGATTAGGGTCCCCTATGAAAATCAGATCATTTTCCCAAGTAGAAGTGGGTGATTTCACTTGCAACCTGATTGCAGGCAATTCTGCACAGAATAACCCAGACTGCTGCAGAACAATGCTCCAAAACCATAGCAAACCTTGGGCAAATGAGGTGAATTTAATAGGGGAGTCTGGAATAGGTGTGATAAGGGTCCCCTATGAAAATCAGATCATTTGCCCAAGTAGAAGTGGTTGATTTCACTTGCAACCTGATTACAGGCACTTTTGCACAGAATTCTGCACCCGCCTGCAGGGAAGAGCATGAAAAACATATCAAACCTTGAAGAAATGAGGTGAAAACTGGATGGGGATCTAGACTAGGTGTGATGACAGTGCCCTATCAAAATGGGCTCATTTTCCCAAGGGGAAGTAGGTGATTTCACCTGACACTTCACACCTGGCAACTCAGCACTAACTTCTTTGCAAGAAAAAGTCCACCAAATCAGTTTGCATGGAGCTGGAAATGTTGAGGGGGCCTGGAACAGGTGTCATAACACTAACAATCCAAAAAAGTATGGTCGCCACATAACACATGTGTGTGATGCCCAGAGAATGACTTCACAAGTGTGTTGACCCAAAAGTGACAAAATGTATCAATTTTGACAAAAACACAAAATCATGCACGCTGGTAGAGGGCAGCAGATGCTGGAAATCCAGATTTGGGTGCAAAAGACCAACAAATTATGGAGTTATGAGCTAAACCATATAGAATTTTGACTTAAGCCATTTTGACATTCTGCTTGTCAGAATTACACCAAAGTGTCAACAACAAAGTTTATACACAAATACTGTAGAACACTGGTTGCGACGTCGCTTTCGTGCGACCGTCGAAAATTCAAACCGGTAGTGTAACCACTCTAGCGCCCATTTCGTTGCGCCATCAGGTGGTTTGGATTTTGGGAGGTCCAACCCACTTTTGCGCCCAATCCGAGTCCAATCCGTCTCGCCACGGGCAAAATGGAGTTTCGCCAAAAAAACTGAATCCCGGTCGAAGCAGAGGATCCGAGTGCTGCTTCCGCGCGCGGCCCGGCTTCCCCCGTCAGGTGGTTTGGATTTCTAGGAACACATCTGGTCAGTTGACGCTACAGTGTTTCGTCAGGTGTGCTTTGTTGGATGGTTGCATTGCAGGTGGCGGCCATATGATTGCCAGCTGAACCAAGGTGGCTACCGACTGACCACGACCAAGTCACCTGGAGATAAACTCGAGGAGTAGATGCATATGTCGGCCGGAGGTACATGCGATATTTCTACTCTCTTATGTTTGAAGTTTCAATTGAAAATGTGAAGCAGCATCATTGTATGGTCAATTTTGCTGGTCTCATCATGTACAATGGCGATAATCCTGCATCTTACTGAATGTGAATTTTCCGAGCGTGTCCCATCAATGAGATGATATATTTGCCTACCAGCACTACAAACAACAGTACAGCAAACTCCACTACACTTACCAACACATTACACGTTACCTACACATGCATGCAATCCCCTTATGAAATGGCCCAAACCAAACGCAGATGCCGTAGTTAACCGGACACTCCAGTGACAACACTGCCTTCCTCACCTTCTCTCTCGTCTCCCTCACCCTCCTCCCCTCTTTCCTCCTCTCCCCTTCCCTCCTCTTCACTTCCCACACCTTTCCCTCCCTCCACCCCACCCTTCTTACCCTCCCCATCCCCCTCCCTCTTCCGTCCACCCAGCCTCTCCCTAATCCCCTCCTCAAGCTCCCTCGCAACCTCCACGTTCTCCTTCAGAAAGTTCCTTGCGCCTTCCTTCCCCTGTCCAATCACTTCGCCGTCCTTTTTGTACCACGCTCCAGAGAGCGTAAGCAACCCTTCTTTAACTCCCAAATCTAGGAGTTCCCCCTCCCGGGATATCCCGTGGCCAAACTCAATGTCAAACTCTGCCGTGCGGAAGGGCGGCGCAAGCTTGTTCTTGTTCACTGTTACCCGCACGCGGTTACCAACAATCTGTAGAGGAGAGGTGAGGACGGGGTAGGAGGGTGGAAGAAGGAGGGGGGAGGGGGAGGAGGAGGGAATCAGAGGAGAAAGAGGTAGAGCGAGCATGGGAGAAGGGAAAGGATGAGATTGGTGTAAGCAACCCCTCTTTTACCCCCAGGTCTAGGAGTTCCCCTTCCCGGGATATCCCGTGGCCAAACTCAATGTCTAACTCTGCCGTGCGAAAGGGCGGCTCGAGCTTGTTCTTGTTCACTGTTACGCGCACGCGGTTACCAACAATATGCAACGAAGAGGTGAGGATAGGTTAGCAGGGGAGGGGGGTAGGGGTGGGGGGGAAGCGAGGAGATAACAGGAGGGGATGGAGGTACAGGGAAAATGAGGAGTGAGTGTGAGCAGGCCCTCTTTACTCCCAGCTCCAACAGTTCCCCCTCCTGGGATATGTCCCGTGACCAGACTCAATACTGAACTCTGCCGTGCAGAAGGGCGGCGCGAGCTTGTTCTTGTTCACCGTTACACGCACGCGGTTACCAACAATCTGCGGCAGAGAAGCGAGGAGATGGAAGGGGGAGAAGAGACGCGTGTCTCCTTTTCAACCATTACACACACACAAGCAATGCAGCAGCAGTAGTCAGACTGACCCTTCTCTCCCTGCTACAGCTGCGGCACTCTCTTGGTGCAACCACAGAGGCGCATAGAACTTGAGTGCATTGCCCCCAGACGTCACCTCCACTGGCTGAAGGGATGCCATACCTGAGTGCCGTAGGGTGCTGTGGGATGTCAAGGAGTGCTGAGGGGTGCATGGGAGTTGAGAAACCCACATTCTCTCCCTGCTTCAGCTGCGCCACTCTCTTGATGTGCAGCCGCAGCGAGGCATAGAACTTGAGTGCATTGCCTACAGCTATGCTGTGGAGAGCTTGATGGTGCTGTGTGGTGCTGAATGGTGCGTTAGGGTGCTAAGCAGCTAAGGAGTGCTGTAGGGTGCAGAGGAGTGCAGAGTGATAACGAGTGCTAACCCACCTTCTCGCCCTGCTTCAGCTGCGCCACTCGCTTGATGTGCAGCCGCAGCGATGCATAGAACTTGACCGCCTTAGGGTGCTCTGTGGTGCTGCAGGGTGCCAAGGGGTGCTTGAGAGTTCCCACCTTTTTTCCCTGCTTCAGCTGCGCCACTCTCTTGATGTGCAGCCGCAGAGACGCATAGAACTTGAGAGCATTGTCCCAGTGTGTGCCACTCACTAAAGGGATGCCATACCTGAGAGCTGTAGGGTGCTGTGGGGAGCTGCGCGGTGCTGTAGGGTGCTGAGGGGTGATTGAGAGTTGATAAACGCACCTCTTCTCCCTGCTTCATCTGCGTCACTCTCTCAATGTGCAGTCGCAGAGAGGCATAGAACATGAATACATGTTGTGTGGAGTGCTTGATGGTGCTGAGTGGTGCTGAGGGGTGAGTTAGGGTGCAGAGGGGTACAGAGGAACGCTGAACCCACCTTTCCCTCCTGCTTCAGCTGCGCCTCTCTCTTGATGTGCAGCCGCAGAGTCGCGTAGTACTTGAGCGCATTGCCGCCAGATGTGCTGTGGAGTGTGCTTAATGGTGCTGTGTGGTGCTGAGGGGTGCGTCAGGGTCTTAAGGAGTGCTGTAGGGTGCAGAGGAGTGCTGAACGCACCTTCTCTCCCTGCTTCAGCTGCGCCACTCTCTTTATGTGCAGCCGCAGCGAGGCATAGAACTTGAGTGCATTGCCTCTGGACGTGCTGTGGAGTGTGTGCTTGATGGTGCTGTGTGGTGCTAAGGAGTGCTGAGTGCTAACGAGTGCTGAACACACCTTCTCTCCCTGCTTCAGCTGCGCCACTCTCTTTATGTGCAGCCGCAGCGAGGCATAGAACTTGAGTGCATTGCCCCCAGATGTCACCTCCACCGGCATGCCCATGCCCGGCCCTCCCATCATGAGCTTCGATCGCACCTGCACACAGATATAAAAGGAGGTGGGGAGAAGAGGAGGGAGAGATGTGGTGGAGAGGGGTGAAGGGAGTTGTGTGCCTCCAGACGTCACCTCCACCGGCATGCCCATGCCCGGCCCTCCCATCATGAGCTTCGACCGCACCTGCAAGGACGGAGGAGGGAGAGGTGGAAAAGGGGGTTAGGCCAACCTGGCGTCACCTCCACTGGCATGCCCATGCCCGGCCCTCCAATCATTAGCTTCGAGCGATGTGATAAAGGTGAATGTTTGAGACGTCTCCGAAATTCACTTTTATCAAAAGGGGGTTAGGCCAGCCTGGCGTCACCTCCACTAGCATGCCCAAGCCCGGCCCTCCCATCATCAGCTTCGAGCGAACCTGATGATGGTATGGGGAAGAGGAACGTGGGAGGAGGAATGGACGAGGGTTGTCCAAGAGAGTTGATAGACACCTCTCACTTGCCTCCAGACCTCACCTCCACTGGCATGCCCACGCCCATGCCCATGCCCATGCCCATGCCCATGCCCATGCCCATGCCCATGCCCATGCCCATGCCCATGCCCATGCCCATGCCCATGCCCATGCCCATGCCCATGCCCGTACCCATGCCCATGCCCATGTGCATGCCCGTGCCCATGCCCATGCCCATGCCTATGCCCATGCCCATGCCCATGCCCATGCGCATGCCTGTACCCATGCCCATGCCCATGCCCATGCCCATGCCCATGCGCATGCGCGTGCCCGTGCCCATGCCCATGCCCATGCCCATGCCCATGCCCATGCCCATGCCCATGCCCATGCCCGTACCCATGCGCATGCCCGTACCCATGCCCATGCCCATCGCGCAGTGCCCGTGCCCATGCCCATGCCATGCCCATGCCCATGCCCATGCCCTATGCCCATGCTCAAGCCTGTACCCCAGGCCCATGCCCATGCCCATGCCCATGCCCATGCCCATGCGCATGCCCTTGCCCGTGCCCATGCCCATGCCCATGCCCTGCCAGCCATCATGAGCATCGAACACAGGTGAGGGCTTGCAGTAGGCCTTCAGTTGTCTTTCATAGAAAATCCATTCAAAACCACACGTTCAATTCAAACCGCACACAGCATATACTGATTTTTTAGTCAACTAGAAAGTAGGGCCGTGCATTTTGTTTCAAAAAAAAAAAAAAAAAAAAACACACCCGTTCAAATTGCTTTTGCAGTGCATACGATACTTCTACCGCTGCCCGCTATCTCCGTGGGCCTAGCTTCCCCATGGCGCCTGCCAAAATGCAACCCACCCCTGGTTGCAAATCGCACCTGTCGTCGACGCGGCAATGCGTCCTGCATAGTCGCTTCCTCCTCTGACCTTGCGCATAGTGAAAGAGGTTGGCGAGGAAAGGTAAGCAAGAAGCGGAAGAGAGCGTGAGGGGTGGGTGCTCTTAGGAGCACAATAGAAAGAACGAATGTTGATAAGAAAGTAATTTTGAGGTGCCTCAAATGTAGAACGAATGCATATGCATGTTGATGGAAAACGACTCAACCCACAAATTCCCCCCATCCGAAAGGCAGTACCCAAGGCACCTCAAAATAATACAAAAGCCACGTTAGCAAAAAGAATCTCACAGAAGAAGCTCCAAATCCCAAAAGCTTCATGCCGGGGTTTGGTTCTTCGGTGAGTGTCCAGCGGGGTTAAAATAGCGCTTGCATTCATACACAAACACTCACCCGAGGAAAGCCCCCAATCCCAAGGGCCGCGTCCAGGGCAATGTAGCCTGAGGGTATGACCGGGACACGGTGGGCGGTCAGGCAGGACTCACCTAGAGGTTGCACACACGCACACACAGACACACACGTACCCGAGGGAAGCCCCCTGTTCCAAGGAGCCTGAGGGGATGACCGGGACGCGGCAGGCTGCCATGTTGGTATTGGTGCTTCAGTGGGTGTCTGACTGCAACCATACTCACATGCAGTATGCATTGTATTGCGCACATAAAGAGACACTCACCCGCGGGAAGCCCCCAATCCCAAGAGCCGAATCCAGGGCAATGGAGCCTGAGGGAATGACTGGGACACGGTGGGCGGCCAACTTGGCATTGGTGCTTCAGTGAGTGTCTGACTGCAACCATACTCACATGCAGTATGCATTGTATTGCGCACATAAAGAGACACTCACCCGTGGGAAGCCCCCAATCCCAAGAGCAGCATCCAGGGCAATGGAGCCTGAGGGAATGACCGGGACGCGGTGGGCGGCCAAGTCCGCCTCAGTGCCGCCCAGAACCATCACTGCCTCCCGCCCAAACTTGGCTCGTAGCTGCATGGGTGTGACGGGAGCGGAAGACAAGGGGAGCGGAGTGGGGGGAAGCGTGGGCAAGTGTGGGGGGAACGGGATCGTCCGACTCAGTGCCGCCCAGAACCATCACTGCCTCCTGCCCAAACTTGGCTCATAGCTGTAGGGGTGCGTAGAGAGGGGGGGATGGGCGGGGGAGAGTAGTGAGGAGGAGAAAGAGGGGGTGGGCGGCCAAGTCCGACTCAGTGCCGCTCAGAACCATCACTGCCTCCTGCCCAAACTTGGCTCGTAGCTTGCTTGCAACCCTAGACCGTTTGCTTGGTAACCCTAAACCCTACCTCCTGAGCTGCTTGCTCCAGCAGCTGCTGCTTCCTGTTGCATGCATTCTCAAAACAGGTTACCATCATACCTCCGCACACCACTACATCTTCTCGACCATATCTCTCACACCACCATATCTCTCATAGCACCATACCTATTAATCACCACCATACCTATTAATCACCATCATACCTCCTGAACGGCTTGCTCCAGCAGCTGCTGGTTCCGCGTGACTAGGTCCTCCTCGCTCTTCTCCTCCGCCTTCCCTTCCCTCCCATCCCTGCCTTTCCTCCTCACCATACCCCCTCACACCATCATACCTCCTCACCATCATACCTCCTCACACCACCATACCTCCTCACCACCATACCTCCTCACCATCATACCTCCTCACCACCATACCTCCTCACCATCATACCTCCTCACACCACCATACCTCCTCACCACCACACCTCCTCACCACCACACCTCCTCACCACCACACCTCCTCACCACCACACCTCCTCACCACCATACCTCCTGAACGGCTTGCTCCAGCAGCTGCTGCTTCCTTGTGACTATATCCTCCTCACTCTTCTCCTCCGCCTTCCCCCCTCTCCCTGCCTTTCCATCCCTCGTCTGCTGCACTGCTGCCTTGCCACTGCGCCGACCTGCACACATCAAGTGCAGATGCAGCGACAGACAGAAACAGGGAGTACACGAGCAGCATCCTTCAATCCCTCCTACTATCTCGTCTGTTGCACTTCTGCCTTGCCACAGCCACACCAGTCCAGTTCAAAACAGCCGCACGCTTAAAACAGACCATACGCGAATACCACAATCCAACCTGTCTCATCTTTTAATGAGCTGATTTTGTAGGCGCCTCAAAAACAGCCGCACGTTTAAACAGACCATACGCGAGTACAATCCAACCTATCTCACCTTTTGCTGAGCTGAATCTAGCAACGGACAGCCCGCCAAAAATGCCGCTCGTTCTGATACCATCGCCACCAGCCGCGAGTGTCCCATTCCGAACCAAGCCATGCAGTTGAACCGAAGCAGCAACCGAGCCTGCTGTGCCAGCATAGGCTACCGAACCAAGAGGTTCGGCAACAGCCCAGTAACCAGGCTTGCAAAGCGTCATGGAAGTAGCCAAATCCCAGGGTTGGTGACGACGACAAGGCGGTTTACTGCAGTTGGCCACGTCAGGTGTTGTCATGGCCACGTCAGCTGTGGCCCAGGCAGCATTGTTAGTCAAGATTTGTGTTTCCGCATTCAAGCTGCTTGTAAGCACCGGGATGTTACCACTGGTAACCACAAGGGTGCTGCTGCTGTTGTTTCTGCATGTTTGCCTTGTAACATTGTTACAAATGCTGCTGTCGCCGTTCCTGCTGACTACACTATCCAACCCTAAACAGCCACGCGTACAGCCAAACCGGCTGGCTGTATTAGGCCACGTGTTTTCTAGGAATTGGCGGGCCCTTCTGCCTGGAAGCCGCCGCGCAAAAGCGCCAATACCAGCCATGAACAAAAAATATTCTAAAAACTTGACGCGCTTCCGTCGTCCCCGAAGTACGTTGCAAGAGGCCCGTTGATGCCGGAGATCCGTGCGATCCAGGCGATGCTAGTGCTATACCCGAGAATCACGCGCGGCGTCCCGAACAGTTGATTTCTAAATCGCGATTCTTGGAGCAACTATGTTAGATTTCGAAAACAGCGGCAGGGCATTCGCAAAAGACATGCACGGAACTAAAGTAATAGAAAGAAAAAAACATACGCGGATGATGCACCGTGAAGGAATATATTAGAGAGCGTAGCGATAGCGAGAGAGTCTCTGCTATGGGAATGATGTTGCGCCAGCAACTTGGTAGAGTTTTGGTAGCGTTTGCCTCTAAGGACTTTGTGAGAATTGAACTAGCATTTGGGCCAAGTAGAATTGCAATATCAATTATCAAACACACAAGCAAACACAAACATATATAGGCAAGCAAGAGTTGCACAATTGTTGCGTGGCGCTGCGAGTAACCCAACCCACACGAAAGTGCTGTGCAGGTGGGTGAACGCGCCCCGCACATTTCCAACCCAACTCGGCACCGGAATGTCTCACCGTGCACGCTACTCCTGCCAACACAGCAAGTGAGCAGCGTGCCTCACAAGCAAGGCACCTACGACCCCCAAGACTCGTCATTCCTAGCACCGATTCCGCCGAGTTCGCTGCAGTAGCTCACAGTCACTCGTAGTCACTAATGACCGCCACCGAACTCGTGCGTCGGTGCCGAGTAGACTCAGTCGTTAGGCGCCGACCTGCCAAGTCAAAGGTCATCGAGGGCCCTTGCTGTCGTAGGGCCCTCTAACACTCCCCTGCCATACTACAGCAAGGCCCTTTATAATCACAGGGCATGCATACACACATACACACCAAAACAAAGGGATACACACAAACGAAACACGCTCAAAGTGTAAACACGCACCGCACCAGCCATGGATAGGCCATGGCACCATCCACATCATGGAGTGTCTAGGTCTTCACTCCCCTCACTCGAGAGCCGCACCTGCCCCACAGCCTCGAAGCAACGACTGAAGGCGGGGAAATGCAATGCCTTTGTGAGGTAGTCAGCAGGCTGCTCGCTCGTAGGGATGTACTGCAGCTGCAGCTTCCTGCGCTTGACCATGTGCTGCAGCCACATGTGACGACGCTCCATGTGCTTGAGGCTCCCCTTGAGCCCCATGCCACCTGCCACTGAAATGGCGGAGGAGTTGTCCACAAAGAGAGTCGTGGGCTCCTCACTCCTCAGCAGTTGAAACTCTGCCAGCAGGAAGCGCAGCCTGCGCGCCTCCTTCCCAGCCTCCACAGCAGCAACGTACTCAGACTCAGTGGAGGAAAGGGTGGCGCAACGAATCCGCTGGCTCGCCCATGAGACAGCAGCACCCCCGAGCACGAAGACATAGCCACCTGTGCTGGTCGTGTTCTGCTTGTCCCCTGCATCATCAGCATCGGCGTAGCCCACCAGCTCCAAGGACTCCGGCCCACCACCAAACTCCAGCGCCACATCCCTGCTCCCCACCAAGTACGTCAAGCACCGGTCCAACTCCTTCCAGTGCTGATCACTCCGCACAGTCTGGCCCGACCCCAGCTTGCTGCAGGCGAACGAGATGTCGGGACGGGTGGTACAGGCCGCGAACTGCAAGGATCCCACCTTCTGCCTGTACTCCTCCTCCTGGCGAGACTGCCATCCCACATCCTCGAAGGTCTGCACACTGAAAGGGTCAGAGGAAAGAGGGGTGCGAGGCACTCGCAGCGGCTGCTCCCCGTCAAAGAAGCGCCTATGGACCTTGTCCACATAGGCCCCCTGGTGCAGCCACAGCCTCCTCGTGGGCGTGTCCCGAATCAGCTGCAACCCCAGATATTTCTCCACAGGGCTAATCTCCCGCAGCTGAAAGGCACTCTGCAGCAGGTCACGCAGCTCCGCTAGCATGCTCTGACTGCGGCTGGCAGCAAGCAGGTCATCCACATACACCAGCAGCCAGCACATCTCCCCCTCAGCATCAGTCTTGAAGTACAGAGCCTCATCCACCTTGCTCTTCTTCCATCCAGCCCCAAGCAGCACCCCATCCAAGGCCTCATACCATAGCATCGGGCTCTGCTTGAGCCCATACAGACTCTTCACCAACTTACAGACACGAGGAGTCCCATCCTCGTAGTAGCTCTGCTGCTCCATGTAAAGGTCTCGGTCCAGCACGCCATGGAGGAACGCGTTCTTCACATCGAGCTGCATCAGGTCCAAATCAAGTGCAGCTGCAATCGCCAGAAGCACACGCGCCGTCACATAGCTTCCCACAGGGGCGTACGTCTCCTCATAGTCCACCCCTGCCACCTGCGTGAACCCCTTCACCACCAGCCTCGCCTTCTCACGCTCCACTATCCCATCAGGTCGGAACTTGGTGTTCAAAATCCAGCGGTTCTTCATCACATTCACCCCTGGCGGACGCGGAACCAACTCCCACGTCCCCTGCTCAATCAAGCTCCGCATCTCCTCATCCATCGCCTCCTTCACCTTGTCTCCCTTCCAGCAGCCCAAGGCCTCCTTCACTGTCATTTTCGCTATGTCCCACTGCCTCTCAGGATTAGCTGCCACGTCCGGGTCCAGGTTAGTCCACTCCTCGTCCTCCTCCTCGTCATCCAAGCCCGCTGGCTCAACCACTACAGCCCAAGCGTATCGAACAGGCGGGACACCACGAGTGATGCGAGTGGAGCGACGCAGTGGTGCAGTGGTCGTCCCAGAAACCAACACACGACCACCATCTCTAATTCCCCACATCTCCTGCTCCCCTGTCTGCTGCTCCCCAATCTGCTGCTCCCCTGTCTGCTGCTCCCCTGTCTCCTGCCCCCCACTCTGCTGTACTCCATCCATACTGCTCTCGTCCTGCAGCTGCTCAGTCTCAAGGCGCTGCCCGTCGGTGATCTCCACAGACGGTGGCACCTCCATCCCCCCCTCACCAACGGGCGGCGCCGTGGAAGACGAAGAAGAGGGCGGAGCAGGTGCAGGAGGGATGGAGGGTGGAAGGGGAGATGGAATAACAGGAGGAGGAGGGGAAGCCAAGGGGGGTGAGGAGGAAAAAGGCGGGGCAGGGGGAATCACACGAGGGTAGACTGAAGGCGGAGGTGGGGTGGGGACCGAGGTAGGGACATAGGGCATAGCAGGAGGTGCGACCACCTCCTCCTCCTCCTCCGCCTCCTCGAGAGTGATCGGGAAGAGTGAGGGAAGGGGCTCATAGGGCATCGAACGCCCCCCATGCTCCTGCTGATGCCAAGCCTTCCATCCTGCTAGGGACATGGTCTCATAGAACACAGCTTCCACAGTGGTGATGAGGCGGTTGGACTCCAAGTCCAGCACGGCCCAGCCCTTGCTCGCAGCTGACACACCCAAGTGCAACCCCCAGCGAGCCTTAGGCGCCAGCTTCCCCCCACGCTGCGACTGTGGTACCATGTACTGCAGCATGCAGCCCCAAACACGCACCATACTGACATCAGGTTTGCGTCGGAAGGCGAGCTCGTACGGCGTCACACCAGAGGGTAGTGAGGCGTGCTCTACGCGGTTGCGCACCCAGACGGCCTGAGCCAACGCCAGGTGCCACCAGTGATGCTGCACACCCATGTGCAGCAACATCGTCCGCACCGCCTCCACAATGCTGCGCATCTCCCTCTCGGCCATCCCGTTCTGCTCCGGCGTGTACGGGCATGTGAGGTCATGGATGATGCCTTTACCGTCGAGGAAGAGCGTGAAGTCGTGCCCCAGGAACTCGCCACCCCGATCAGTGCGCAGCGCCTGCACCGTGGTCTTGCACTGTCGCTCTGCCATCGGGAGCCACTTCTGGAACGCCGCCAGCGCATCACTCTTCTGGGCCAAAGGGTAGGCCCAGACATATCGCGTCTTGCGATCCTTCAGCACCAAGAAGTAGCGGCTGCCGTCCTTAGCTGCTTCACGGAAAGGGCCACACAGGTCAGCATGCACCACCCCGAGCAACTCATCCTCCTCCTCTCCCACAGAAGGAAAGGTATGACGAGTGATCTTTCCCCCAACACAGGAGACACAAGGTATGCCTGACTTGCCCCCCTTCTCCAAATCCAAGCCCTTCACTGACCCATGAGCCGCTGTGCGCTCGATGGCATCAATACCAACGTGTGCCATACACGCATGCCACAGGTCCCCCTTAGACCGTACGCCGGTCGCCAAGGTACGAAGTGCCACCGTTTCGCCTTCCTGCTGCTGCGTCGAACACGGCTGGAAGTTCGTGCAGAGAACACGCCCCTTGAACTCCGCACGACCAAGGAGCGATCCATCTGGTGCCCGCAGCAAAGTCACATCCCCGGCATCCAGCAGCTGCACACCACTATCACGCAGCTGCCCAGTAGGGAGAAGACTAGCCTGCACTCCTGGTACGTACAGCACGTCCGGCACCAAGACACGCCTGCCCCCCTCCTCAAGAAGAGCGACTGTGCCTCGCCCCTGCACCTCCTGAAGGGCGCCGTTGAAGCCGGTAACCTGCTTAATGCTGCCGCCGCTGCTCATCTCCACAAAGGCAGAACGATCTCCCATGAGATGGTGGGAGCATCCGCTATCAAGCAGCACGACGCTCGGGTTCGCCTTCACAGCAGCTGCAACAGCCTGTAAGCCCTCCCCGGCCTCAGGCTCTAGCACAACGAGAGGAGTCTGCTCCACAACTGGCTTCACCATCGCACATGATGACTGCCCGCTCCCCTTAGAGCCATCACCCCCCTTTCCGTTGCTACCTCCAGAACCCTCTCCACCGGTGTCTGCCTCCTTATCCGCCCGCTGCTGACAGTACTTAGCAGCATGCCCTATTTGTCCACACACATAGCACTTCCCCTTGAAGCCCCCTTTCCCCCCCTTCGGTTGGCCATCCTTACCCCCTTTCCACTTCTCCCCTCCCCCACCAAGCCCACCCCCATTCTTAGGCTGCTGCTGCTGTGCCGTAGTGGGAGGGGAAGGGAATGAAGTCTGCTGGAATTGGGGCTTACCCTTCTTGGTAAAGACCTGGTTAGCCTGGGGAAGAAATTGGTCTTTTCGTCCCTCTGCCGCCAGCGTACACTCCTCCTCGATGATGTAGCTAGCGAGGGTGTCCTTGTCCAACTCCTTGCGAACCTGCGGCAACTTCAGCATCCTGCGTAAGAGGTTGTACTGCTGCGGCAACCCCTTCACAACGTGAGTGATGTACGACGCCTGCGAGTAATCTACGCCGGCCATCCTCAGGTTCACTAGGATCTGCTGCGCACGGTTGCAATAGGACGTAGCGGACTCGTGCTCTCCCATCTCGAGGTTAGTGAGCGCCTGCTCTAACTGACCGATGTACAGATCGTCCTTCGCCATGTACGTGCGCATAATAAACTGCCATGCCTGATAGCCGGCATCGACCTTCATGCGACACGCCTTAAGGGCGATCTGTACGGTTGGGGAGCAGCATCGGGAAATGGTGGTGAATGTCAGCAACTGCATCGCGCGGAACTGAGAGAGATGCGCAAGCGCACGCGCTGGTGGAATGGGGGTGGTGCCATCTATGAATCGCTTTAGCTGAGCGATCTCAAGCTGCGGCTCGATTGATTCTGTCCACGTCGACAGGTCGTGACGTCCTTCTAACGGCCTAGTGACAACGATCTTGTCTGGAGTGAATCTGAAGTAGCCATAGTTGGGGGCTATTCCCTCGTCCCTCGACATCGATCCAATCGGGGTAACGCCCGGCATAGCCTCACTATCGAACTCTTCCGCAATTCCTCCTCCAGCAACGCTCCGCCGTCCTACATTCGCATGCTCTCGTGACGCTGCTGCACGATGAACACGCTCCTGTACACCGCCAACGCTAGCCGTACTAAACCGAGTTGGTCCTCGCAGGACCCCACGCGACATCAACCCATCAAACTCCTCGTCATCGCTATTTCCGCCATCGACAGCCATATCCCACGCACTAGTACCTCCCGCAACTTGCTCAACATTCTCTACACGTGGCGAAGGGTGCTCACGACGCCGACGCGAGCGCAATCCCTCCAACATTAGCTCGTATTCGATATCACTAATCTCACCACGAGAATGACGAGCCACGAGATCCTCCTCTAGGGCGCGCAAATTACCGGCCTCCACGTTCGCCTCCTCTGTACTCATCCTCTACGACGTCTCTATAAGGTACCACAAATTAAAATAAAGTGCCCCTTCCTTAAATCCCTCGTCTCGGGGTCACCTCACAAGGGTCCTCAGACGAGTGGTAATAAATTACCAAACGCCCTATCCTTGGGTCCGAGAACGTAACTGGAGGGAAATCAAGAGAGGTTCAACTTAGATTAATAAGCGCCCTTCACTAACGCCGCACGCCAAGGCGAGTATACGAACACGAATATCAACGACGACGGAAATCTATGCGTGTTCCTTCCACGCTCACCGCACCATGAAGGAATATATTAGAGAGCGTAGCGATAGCGAGAGAGTCTCTGCTATGGGAATGATGTTGCGCCAGCAACTTGGTAGAGTTTTGGTAGCGTTTGCCTCTAAGGACTTTGTGAGAATTGAAGTAGCATTTGGGACAAGTAGAATTGCAATATCAATTATCAAACACACAAGCAAACACAAACATATATAGGCAAGCAAGAGTTGCACAATTGTTGCGTGGCGCTGCGAGTAACCCAACCCACACGAAAGTGCTGTGCAGGTGGGTGAACGCGCCCCGCACATTTCCAACCCAACTCGGCACCGGAATGTCTCACCGTGCACGCTACTCCTGCCAACACAGCAAGTGAGCAGCGTGCCTCACAAGCAAGGCACCTATGACCCCCAAGACTCGTCATTCCTAGCACCGATTCCGCCGAGTTCGCTGCAGTAGCTCACAGTCACCCGTAGTCACTAATGACCGCCACCGAACTCGTGCGTCGGTGCCGAGTAGACTCAGTCGTTAGGCGCCGACCTGCCAAGTCAAAGGTCATCGAGGGCCCTTGCTGTCGTAGGGCCCTCTAACACACCGGCCCCTACTAATGATCGCCACGAATTATCAGACGACATGCGCTAACACTGGAGGAAAAAAAGGAGAAAAATCTATCGAGTGGGATCTGTAAACACGCGCCTCAGCACATTGAACGGGTGGCGTCTCCCTGACGATTCCAGACATAGGATCAAGGGCGGAGAGTTGTCATTTTTGCTTATGATTCTCGATTACAATTCTACACAAATTTGTTTTCCAAAGATTGGTTTTGTAACCTTCTCCGAGAAGGCGGTTTCGCCCAGTCACAGCGTCATTCCTGGCAGGGTCGATCCACGGGGATATTCATTGACATGGTTCTGGACGGTTTGTTACGTAAAGAAAGAGATATCTGGCGGCGTTACGCGGTTGCTCTCCTTTCAAGAATTTTCATCTCCCAAACCAGGTAACCAGATTAAGTATTTCGTTCTGTCTTCGTAACTTCGAGAGCTCACAACCCTTGCCTGTGCTACCATATGTGTTTCTGCTGGCCCCTCGTCATTCTCGAGGTCTGCTTGTCAAGCAAGCGAGAGTCGAGGACGACCCTCCCGCACAGGCGAACAAGGACTTCTGCTATCCCAGGCTGAGACAAAAGCACGTGAAGAGTCGTCCAAGCCTTCAACAAAAACTTCGCTGTTTTGAGTCCGCTTTCTTTCATTCCTCGGGCAGAGCTGGTCTGTGCGCGTCGCAGGCGAAGCGCACCACAGTACACGCGCACAGTTCAGGCGAGCAAACCCAAGGTGTCTTTTAGACATCTCTCTCATCCGCCACATGTCCCAGTTCGCTAGATCCGCCGCCATTGCGATCTCGATCGAACGGCTCGAGATAAAACATATCTGATCGGCCTCTCGAGCTGTTTGGCCGATCAGCGAGCAGATCCAGTCAACGGCCCAGATCTGGTCAAGACAGATCCCATCAGCGGACCAGATCCTGTCAAGGCGGATCTGCCAGTCAAACGGACCTTTCTGTGTCCAGTCATTGACATCGACCGCTCGTATCATCTGGCCTCTTTCGATCGTTGTTATGGCTCGATCGGACGGCGTACGACACGCGACAAGGATCCTTTTAACGCGGATTCACACGTCATCATCGTCATCGTCATCGTCATCCGCCGCCGCAGCAGCGTGTAATGGCGCCAGGATGCAAACAGCAGCAGGAGCACGGACAGGAGCTGTTAGCCGCCCTTTAGATGCTATCATTCGCACCGTGCTGAACCTCCCCACCAGATCTCCAACCGCCGCCTATTCTGCTGCTGCTGCTGCTGCTGCTGCTCCCTCCGCCTCCTCCTTCGCCTCCTCCGCAGCTTCACCTGTTTCCACTCCCTCTGCCGTCTCACCTGTTCGGGCGCTTGTGTTTGGCTGCAGCGGGCGAGCAGGAGGAGGGGCGGTTGCTGTGGCGCGAGCAGGGGGAAGAGGTCCCGCTGCAGGTGCAGGTGCAGGTTTAGGTGCAGGTGCAGTGAATCTGGACATTGGGGGTCTGAGATGGCTGAAAACGAGCACGGGACGCGTACGCGCTGTGGGCGCGAAGGCAAAAGTTGGGGCAGGGGCGGGGGCAGGTGCTGTGCATGTGGACATTGGGGCGAGGGCTCGGGCGCGGCAGACGCAGCGAATGTGGACGCTAGTGATTGGTGGAGGCGCGGTGGCTGGGCTGGCAATATTTGCGATGAACTCGTTTCAAGAAAACCTGATGCGGCAAATGAGGAACCGAAACGGAAACGCGGATGGAAGAGGAAGGGGAAGACAAACTGAAGCTTTGTGATTTGGGGAATCTCGAGTGTGCTGATGGGTGTGGCGTGGTTGGGTGCTGTGCGGTTGAGTGCGGCAGTGACGGTCGACTAGCAGCAACTCTGGGAGAAAGGGGAGGCAGGCTGGGGGAGCAGGGCGAGCGGAGGCGAGATTGCAGTGAGGGGGAGCGGCGGAGCGCGGATGGGGAGGGGGGAAGGAGGGGCGCGGACGGGGAGGGGGAGGGGAGGGCGTGGTGGAGAGTACAAGGCGAGAGGTGTAGAGTGGACGGTGAGTGGTGGAGAGGGGAGGGCGAGTGGAGGAAGGAGGGGATGTTGAACTCATCAATCTGCTCCAGTCTCATCCACTCCATGTCCCCTGAATGCAGGCTGCGCGTCCTCCTGTGCGCCCTCGGCAGCAGCCGCTGCGGCTGCTGGTCCTGTGAGTGCGGCACGGTTGGGTGTGGCGCGGTTGGGTGCGGCATGGTTGGGTGAGGCACTGCAGCGTCGCAGGGAGAAACGGGAAGCAGGCGAGACGAACGGGGGGAGCGCAGCACGCAGAGGCGAGGGCGAAGCGAGGGCGAGAGGAGAGGCGCGGATGGCGAGGGGCGGGAGTGGCGAAGCACAAAATCCTCCTCGCCCATCTGCTGCTGGAACGAGGGGATGGTGTGCCGATCTGCTCCAGCCGGATCTTCTCCATCTCACCCGAATGCAGGCTGCGCGTCCGCCTGTGCGCTCTCGTTAGCTGCTGCTGCTGCTGCTGCTGCTGCTGCTGCTGCTGTTGCTGTTGCTGGTCTTGTGAGTGCAGCATGGTTGGGTGCGGCACGGTTCTATATAACGCCCACGCAGGTCAGTTGCGTTGGTGATCTCAATGATTCTGAGAAGGTTGAAACGCGAGGCGAAGGGGCCGTGAGTGGACTTGCTGTTGCAGCAGCAGCTGGTGCTGCTGCTGCTGCTGCTGCTGCTGCTGCTGCTGCTACTGCAAGTTGTTTTCGTTCTGAGGCGTCGCAGTTGGTCGCCTCGTGCCACAACCCTTCATATCTGCTTCATCCCACGCCCCTTTCCACCTCCCTCGTCGCACCCCCCTTCTCGTCTCTCGCGTGTCCTCGCTGTTTCTCATCTCCCCTTTCAGGCCCTCGAGAAGTTTGCAGAGAACTCGTCTGCCAACAGGTTCAGGCTGGGCGGGCTTGTGAAGGAGGGCAGGTGAGAGGGGAGAGAGGGGGAATGGTGAGAGGGGTATAGAGGAGGGTTGGTTGGGGGAACAACTGGTCTCGTGTTGCCAGGGCGATTGCTAGCGGGTGTTGCTCGAGAAGTTTGCAGAGAACTCGTCTGCCAACCGCTTTAGGCTGGGAGGGCTTGTCAAGGAGGGCAGGTGAGTGTGGAAAGTGGAGGAATGGTGAGAGGGGGGTTGGTTGTCGGAACAATTGGTCTCGAGTTGCTAGTGGGTGTTGCTAGGCCGTGCTGATAGCACGTGTAGCTTCAGAAGTTTGCAGAGAACTCGTCGGCCAACCGCTTTAGGCTGGGAGGGCTTGTCAAGGAGGGCAGGTGAGAGTGGAAAGTGGAGGGCTGGAGCGAGCGGAGAGAGGAGGGTAGGAGAGAGGGGTCCGGTGAGAGGAGGGAGGAAGGAAGGTGAGAGTGGGGAGAGGAGGGAAGGTGAGACGTTATATTGGAGAGCGGATTGGTGTGAGGAGGGTTGGTGTGGTGTGAGGAGGGTTTGTGTGGGGTTGGTGTGAGGAGGGTCTGTGTGTGTGAGGAGGGTTGGTGTGAAGGACGAGGGTCTAGTGGATGGGAGGGGAGGAACTCCACATGCCAATTTCACCTTCATATTAAAAAAAAAAAAAAAAAATCATCATCCCGACTTATGCTTCCTTCGTTGTGTTTCTTCTGTGCCATGTGTGTGTGTGTCTCTCTCTCTCTCTCTCGATGCTTCCCCCCCCTGTACCACACCAGTGTTCGCATCCCTGCAGGCAGCATCGAGATGGAGTTTGTTGTCACCGACCTTGCAACAGATGTGAGTATAAGAGTTTCCATTTTGTTACAGATGTAAAAAAACGAGTTTCCAAATAGCAACAGATGTGAGTAAACGAGCTTTGAAATTGAAACAAATGCGAGAAAGGGAGTTAAAAATTATTGCCACAGGTGTGTGTGTGTGTGTGTGCGCGCGCGCGCGCGCGCAATAGTTTCCAGCAGAGGTTTTTCTACGCCCATTCACTCCCCTTCTCTCCCCTCTCCTCCTCACACCCCTCCCACTGCAGATTCTGGTCCGCTACAGGGGCGCTCTGCCAGATTCGTTTCAGCGCTGAAAGGGCGCCCCTGCCAGAATGAATCAACAGCCAGGTCATTCTATGGCTGTTGATTCAAGCCAACGTTTTTTTCGGCGCCTCAAAGATCGTTTCAGCGCAGGTCATTCTGTGGCTGTTGATTCAAGCCAACGTCGCTGCTTCCTTCAGTTGAAACCCTTCTTCTCTTCCTTTTCCGCTCCTTACAGTGCATATCCTGGTCCGCTACAGGGGTGCCTTGCCTGATCTGTTCAGGGAGGGCCACTCCGTGGTGGCCGAGGGCTTTCTGCTGCCTCTCAGCCAAGCCATCACCGCTGCTTCTCTCAGTGTTACGCCCCTTCTCATCTTCCTTTCTCCCTGCTTACACTGCAGATCCTGGTCAGGTACCGGGGTGCCCCGGGGTGCTCTGCCTGATCTGTTCAGGGAGGGCCACTCCGTGGTGGCCGAGGGCTTTCTGCTGCGCCCACTCGGCCATGCCAACACCACTGCTCTCTTCAGTGTTATACCCCTTCCATTTTTCTTTTCTCGCCCCACCCCCCCGTCTTTACACCAAATTCTGGTACGGTACAGGGGTGCCTTGCCGGATCTGTTCAGAGAGAGGGCCATTCTGTGGCAGAGGCAAGGAAAGGCTCTGGCTTGGTCGCTGCTGTGCAACCGCCACACTGCACTTCTGCTGGTAGAGCGTGTGCTTTGGTAAAGACTCTGCTGGACTATTGTGCTGCTGTGTGATGCCCATCGCTCCCTTGATGCTCATCAGACTTCCCCTGCTGTGCTGGCATGGCAGGGCGTGGACAATACTCAAGGGCGAGAAGTACCACCACTGACACACACCCACCACGCTTCCACCTGCTCCCTTCACATGCGGAGCCACTCAGTGTTGGCAGCTAAGGGTTGCCACATCACAGCAGGCGGACAAGTCAGCACCATGTGGTGTGTGTGCCTCTCACTAACTGCTGTGCCATGCAAGCTAGCGCCTTCGGCTGTTCTTTAGAGTTCTCAAGGCAGCACACACAGCAATGCATTCCAGGTATTCATTGGGACAAAAGCAGGGACATGTTTGTGGAGCCATCACAAGGAGCACTAGTGTGCTTGAAACGAATGTTCATGTGCATAAGCAGCAGCAAATCTGCAATGGTGAAAGGTCCGCATGTGTGCAGAATATGCATGCTCTGCCAAGGAGAAATGCAACACGAATTTATTGTACAGCTGCACACCAAGCCCGGTTCTGCCGCTGATTTACTGGCCACCAACTCCCGTGGTTTCGGCGAGGCCACGGTCCTGCCACTCTCCGGTCGTCTCCATGTCTCCTTCGACTCTGGGGTTTGCTGTTCCATGCCCGGCATGCGCGATAGCGAGCATCCCTGCTTATGGGCATCCCATCACGCTCTTGCTCCTTTGGCCCATTTAGCGACTAGCGGGGTCTCTCCGGGCTCTGATGTAGTGTTGCGCGGTTCTGGAACGCTCTACTCCGTTTTGCATGCACGTTGTTGTGACGTCTGGTACGTCGGCGATGCTCGCATGTTATTGGTCGTCGACCAGCGCTGCCTTTCTACAGTTTCACTCGCTTGAGCTCTCCAGCTCGGCTACGGTTCGACTGGGTCTGGCATTGCTTGTCCGTAATGTCCGCCCGACTGTAGGTGGTACTTGTCATTCATTTCTCAGCTGCGGCATATTCTTTTGCTTGTTTGTTCTAAGATCTCATGCCTCTAACCAGATCTGATCTGCCTCTCATGCAGGAGTGCTCGACAGGTTCACTCAGCAGGCTCCACACTGCTTTAACGTTTTCTTGTATTGGCTTCACCTGTCCCAGGATCAGGTTGTTCGCTGAAATCAAGACCGGACTCAAAGTGAAAGCAAACAAGCAAACTGGCCAATACTAGCATTGTTTACCATTGCTCACAACAGCACTTTCGCCTACTTTCGCTCGTTTGGTCTCCCGCCAAGCTGGTCGCTACATTCCTACTTTGCTACAGGTTGCTTCGCCATCTCTCCCTCTGTCTAATTTACATATTCAGGTTTATCCTATTCTATTTCCCTACATTAAAAACATGACACCCCTCTCCGATCTGGGCCCCACTCGCTCGCTCTTACAGTCCTGCTTTGTGGGACATATCTGCGGTAGAGTTCGTAGATGCATTAGAATCTACTTCTGTGATGTATGCCGATGTTGACTATAGTGCTGCTGGATCTATTTGCTCTCGTGTTCGTAGCTTAAGATCCTTGCCAGTAGCTAGTGTAGGTGCTTACGCTTCCAATCTAGGTGCTTGAGTACCTACTAGCCCAGGTGCACATACAGCTGACGCGTCGCTCTAGACTCTGGCGTGTCTCAGTGCTTCTTCCGCGGCCACACGACTCTCACACCGCTTCCTGCCCCAGTTCTGGTTGCACTGGCTGATCCTACTTCAAGACCAGTACTTGCCAGCTGCTCTACCACCCTCCCCATAGCAGAATGGGGTTGCTGAGCGCCGCATAGGCTTGGTCATGGAGATCCCCCGCACCTCCATGATCCATGCCCGTGCGCCCCATTTTTTGTGGCCCTACGCAGTTCGCTACGCCGCCAACCAGTTGAACCTCCGGCCTTGTGTCTCACAGCCAGAGGCTTCACCGACCAGTCTTTGGATCGGGTCCCCGAGTGTTGCATCAGAGTTTCGTGTCTGGGGCTGCCTTGCGCTTGTTCGCGACACCTCTGCGGACAAGCTCTCGGCTCGTGCCCTCCCCTGTGTCTTCCTTGGTTTCCCGATGGACTCCTCTGACTACACCTTTTACCACCAGCCCCTCCACTGGTTCCTCGACCCTCGCGACGTCTAGTTTGACGACTCTATGCCCTACTACGCCCGCTACCCCTATTGAGCTCTCACGGTTCCCTCGTCGCCCCGTTTCCTTGCCTCCACTCCTCCTCCTGCTCCCGCCCCTCCGGTACGCCTGGCCCCTACTGGTCCTTCCCCGTCAGGTGTGTCACGCTACCCCTCTCCCCTTGGTAGCAGGTCAGGTACCCCCCATTTCCCCACCATCGTCCTCACAGACACCGTAGCAGCCTTCGACACTTCCGCGACAGGGTGCAGTGGACTCTAGGGGTATTGGTGTTGGAGGCACGGACGCTGGAGGTGCTAGTTCAGGGGGTGCTTGAGCTGAGGGTACTGGTACCATAGGTGCTAGTTTTGGAGGTGCTAGAGCTGAGGGTACTGGCACAGGAGCTGCTAGTTTGGGGGTGCTGGAGCCGAGGGTACTAGCACTGGAGGTGATAGTTTTGGGGGTGCTAGAGCTGGAGGCGCTCACGCTGGGGGTGTTGGAGCTATCGGTGTTGGCGTTGGGGGTGCCAGTTATGGAGGTGCTAGTTTTGGGGGTGTTGGAGTCGTCGGTACTAGCACTAGAGGTGCTAGTTTTGAGGGAGCTGGAGCTGGAGGCGATACTTCTGCGGTGCCTAGTCCGCCTCCCCACCGCTACCCGATGCGTTTTCAGGAGCTTCGTCGGCTGGAGCTTGAGGAGCAGGAGAGGTTGGAGCAGGAGAGGCTGGAGCTGGAGCAGCAGCAGCGGGAGCAGCAACAGCAGGAGGAGCAGCTGCAGGAGCAGCCGCAGCAGCAACAGTAGCCGCAGTATTAGAAGTAGCAGCAGCAGCAGCAGCAGCAGCAGCAGTAGCAGCAGCTGCAACAACAACAACCGTAGCAGCAGCCGCAGCCGCAACAACCATCTTTGTAGCAATTGTATCCACATGTGAGTGACCTTCGGGCCCTTGGCCTACCTTCCCCTCCTTCATACCGCTCCCCGTCTCCTCTTGTTTCTAGTCCTCTGTTACCTCCCCCGGACCTGTCTCCGGCTGTTTTCTCTCCTCCTCGGTCTGAGTCGCCTCCTTCTATTGTTCCGCACACTTGGGCTACTCATTGTCCTCGTTGTGCTCATCCCTCGTCCCCAGTCACCGACCTCCGCTCTGTCCAGTTTCATTCTAGCCCTCCTCGTTCTCCTCCTCAGCCTGTTCTCTCGTCACCTACTGAGTCGTCCCTTACAGCCACCTCCTCTCACCTTATCACTGACTACTACAATGCTGCTCGTCCTATTGTCACCCATGTTCTCGCCTCGATTGTCACTAACCCTCGTGCCTCTCCGTCGTCTGTTTCGGCTCTTTCTGCCGTTGTCGTTAACTTTGCCGTCACCCGCCGCCTTGAATACGCCACCCGAACGGTGGCTGCTCCTCCTATCCGTCCTCTGTTCACCGAAGGTGAGTCTACCTTTGGTTGTGACGTCCTAGAGGACAGGCAGTTTGAGCTGGTGTTCTTGGCAACCGTTTCTCCCCATCTCTGTGCCATGCTGCTAGCCTTTGAGGGAGACCCCAATGCCCTTGACATACCAACTTCTCGCACGTGCCGTGAGGCAGTGTCAGGGTAGTGGGCCTCTTAGTGGATAGCGGCCATGGATTCAGAGATGGCGCCTTGGAGATCCACATTCACTTTCGTCGACACAGTTCCCCCACTTGGGGCGAACGTAGTCGATGGCATGTGGATCTTCGAGGTCAAGCAGCCATTGGGATCACCGCCTGTCTTCAAAGCGTGCTACATGGCAAGGGGCTTCAGTCAGCGCGAGGGAGTTGACTTCTTCGAGACGTTCGCTCCGACCCCGAAGATGACTATTGTTCGTGATACTTCACGTGGTAGCACAACAAAACTACGAGCTGCACTCCCTTGACTTCTCCACTGCCTTTCTCTAGGGGCTGCATACACGAGGAGATCTGGCCACACCGACCTCCTGGCACCACTAGCACTTTCCCGCTTGGGACCCAATGGAGCCTGAGGCGACCAGTCCACGGTCTCCGCCAGGCGCCCCGTGAGTGGCACGATACACTACGCACCACTCTTGCTGATCTCGGGTTCCGTCCTTTGTCTGCTGGCCCGTCGTTGTTTATTCGCACTGGTTCCACTCCATTCTTCGTTCTTGTCTACGTCGACGACCTGGTCTTCGCTACACCAGACATGGGTCACTCTGGCTGAGGTGAAATCCAAGTTGTAAAAGAGACACACGTACACTGACCTGGGTAATCTGCACCATTACATTGGCTTGCAGATCACCATGGATAGAGCCGCTCACACCATTACACTCGCTCGGTCACACATGGTGTATCAGGTCCTTCTGCGGTTTGGGTTTCATTTCTCCACCACACAGCACACTCCTCTTGTCGTCGAACACAGACTCATCGGCCCTTACACCGACGCGCCCTTTGAGTCTAGTGGTCCCTACACGCTGTTAACTAGATGGATACTGTGAGGGTGGCGAAGTGTCTGACGACAACATCAAGCATGGGGCTTGTGCTTGGAGGGACATAACCACATGTGCTGACCGGTCACTACGACTCTTCCTACGCCGACGATGTCGAGACTCAGCGGTCTAGTCAGTGTTACTGCTTCAACTTGGGCGCTGGAGCTGTATCGTGGAGGTCTACGCGGTCGTCATCTGTGTCGCTGTCCAGCACAGAGGCAAAGATCTACGCCGGTGCCATGGCTGCGTAGGAGCTTCGCTGGTTGACCTTCTTGCTCACCAACCTTGGTGAGCGGCCGAGCTTTGCATCGACCTTGTTCGCGGACAACAAGGCCATGATCCTTCTGTGTCAAGATCCTCGAATGAAGAGAAGAGTGAAGCACGTCAACGGGAGGTACTTTCTCCTGCGAGAGTTGCAGCGATGCGGCCAGGCACGCTTGGACTTCGTG